TTTTTGTATTCACTGTTGTTCCATTTCTGTATGCCTTTGGACATGTCCTTCTGGTGGCACGGCATATCCCTAAGTTGGTAAACTCCTTTTTATCCTTGGAAATCCTGCTCAGGCATTACCGCCTCTAGGAACTCTTCCATGGTCCCTCTTCCTCCTGTCATGCCCAGATAGAATTATTTCTTTGTACAACTTCTGTGCTAAGTATACACTTCTAACTGCTGCATATACCACCCTCTCTATTTTACTTATTAGTTTATAGGTACCCTTGAGACTATCTCTCTCATCTTGCCGATTGTTCTTCGGTCATACTGAGTCTTATCTCACTTTGTCTTTGTATCCTCAGCGACTGGCATCTAACAGCCATAGGTCTTCAAAACATTTTTGGTGCTGGTGGTGTTTTCCTGAGCTGAGATGAATAGAACCAGGTCTCTATGGTTTTTCATGTATTGTTGTCATGATGATGTGTGTGTGCGTCTGTGTGTATATGTATCCGTAAAATGCTTTGTAAATGTGGAAGAAGTGAATGAGAGGCAGACTACTGGCAGGAGGCTAGTAAGGAGATCATTTCGTAAACACTCCATGATTGCTGCCCTATTCAGCTTTTCCCAACTCTCTAGGCTAATAAGTAGTGCTACGCAGGCACACACGTACACACTGGGAGTGCCTTTATCTTCACCATTAGCTTATTGAATTAGAATTGTGTTTGTGAATCTGCGACCTCGCCAGACGGTACATTTCATGAAAGCAGGTAACCGGTTTGTGTGTGTGTTATTGGTGCTCATATAGGGTTTTATTCACTAAAAGGAAGGTACTGTGAATAAGATATGAAATGTAATGGCAACAAAAACCTCTACTTACAATTAATAAAAGGCATTTAATTGTGAGCTATTATCTTTCTAATTGGGATTCCTATTTCCACTCTTGTTTTCCCTCAATCCGCTCTCCAAACCTTTTTTTTTTTTTTAATTTTTTTTCAACGTTTTTTTATTTATTTTTGGGACAGAGAGAGACAGAGCATGAACGGGGGAGGGGCAGAAGGGAGGGAGACACAGAATCGGAAACAGGCTCCAGGCTCTGAGCCATCAGCCCAGAGCCTGACGCGGGGCTCGAACTCACGGACCGAGAGATCGTGACCTGGCTGAAGTCGGATGCTTAACCGACTGCGCCACCCAGGCGCCCCCAAACCTTTTTTTTTTTTTAAACCAAAGTGAATGTTTACTTAGAATGAGAGAAGCAATGCAATGACAACCAGTTACAAATTTTAAAAAGCTGACTGACAAATGCCAGGCATTAAAAAAATCCTTAAAAATATTTAACTGCCTGAACCACCCCTCTACTTAACCTATATTTTTAACTTCGAAGTATTTTTTTAAAGTTGATTTATTTTGAGAGAGAGAGACAGAGACAGAGAGAGAGAAAGCAGTAGAGGGGTAAAGAGAGAAGGAGAGAGAGAATGTTAGGCAGGCCCGACTCCAGGCTCAATCCCAAGAACCGTGAGATCATGACCTGAGCTGAAATCAAGATCTGGACGCTCAATGGACTGAACCACCCAGGCGCCTAACTTTTATGTAGTTTGATTGACTCTTCCTTTGAAAATTTTGTAACACATTTTCTTTGTGAAAGTAAATAGTTTGGTAATATCTTCAGCATAGTTGATCAAAATTTATTTTTTATTATTGAAAATTTAGAGAAGTTGATTTCAATCATAACTTATTTAGTAATAATATGTCAGGTTTTCGTAGTGCTAATTTTGGGGAAACCTGTGGAGTTCCTTATGTGAGCTTAGCGATTTCAGAACATTTCAAGTTTTTCTTGATCAGTGTGATTAACCTTAAATATTCTTGAAATTACTCACTAACCTGTTGCCAAGCTGTTGTCATAGAAGGGTATTATCAATTCTAGACTATCGTTGTAGATGCTAGTATCTCTACTCAAATCAACAAGAAATTTTTTCAAGTTTAAAGTTTCAGTGTATTTATAGGATTCATTCTCCTTCAATTACTAAAAAAATTAGGAGTCTATTACTTCTATTTAAAATGTGTCTCGGGGCGCCTGGGTGGCTCAGTCGGTTGAGCATCCGACTTCAGCTCAGGTCATTATCTCGCGGTCCGTGAGTTCAAGCCCCGCGTCGGGCTCTGGGCTGATGGCTCAGAGCCTGGAGCCTGTTTCCGATTCTGTGTCTCCCTCTCTCTCTGACCCTCCCTCGTTCATGCTCTGTCTCTCTCTGTCTCAAAAATAAATAAATGTTAAAAAAAATATATAAAAAAAAATAATAAAATAAAAAAATAAATGTGTCTCAGGGCACCTGGGTGGCTCAGTGCCTCTTGATTTCAGCCCAGGTCAGGATCCCAGCGTCATGGGATGGAGCCCTGCATCGTGCTCCGCACTTAATGTGGAGCCTGCTTCGGATTCCTCTCTCCCTTTGCCTTCTCCCCCGCTCTCACACTGTCTCGCTGTCGCGCTGTTTTTGGTTTGATCAAAAAAAAAATTTCTTCTGGTTCACTTTTTTGTCACAATAATTTCTGTTGATTTCATATAGTAATATATACAAACTAATTTTATTGTGTGATATATATAAATGTATATGTTATAATGTTAAATATATTCTTGAAGAAGAAAACTTCTGTTTTGACTACAGATGAGAACTGAATCCTACACTTATAATTCTCTACATCTGGGGGTTGGAAAGATTTGACTCCATTGTCCACAGACTACTGGTGCTCTGTGCCTCTGACCCTGCACTTTTTAGGTTCTGATGCCAGGTAAGTTGTCTCAGTAGGGGTAGTATTATTCCTGGAAGCTATTTCTACATCCAAATAGCAATAACTTGGGGGGCGCCTGGGTGGCTCAGTCAGTTGAGCGTCAGACTTCGCTCAAGTCATGCCATGATCTCACGGTTTGTGGGTTTGAGCCACAAATCGGGCGCACTGCTGTCAGCCTGTCAGTGTGGAACCTGCTTTGGATCTTCTGTCCCCCTTTCTCTGCCCCTCTCCTGCTAGAACTGTCTCTGTCTCTAAAACATTTAAATAGCAAAATCTTAACGTTGCATGAAAGTGCTTCTGAAACCACACCTTTTTAAAAATGGTAAATCCTATCACATTAGTGCCCCACAGGAACCCTTCAATGTTTCCCATTGCTCTTATAATAAAATTAAACCTCCCTACTGGAACCTACAAAACCTTGTATGCTTTTGGCTTTTCCCATCTCTCCAAACTCATCTTCAAGATTCTTTTCTTGCTTTTTCTCTTGTCCAGCCATACTGATTTCATATCAGTTTCTGAATTTTGCCAAATTTTGTTTTTCTTGCCCCAGGGCACTAATATCTAAATTTTGCTAACCTAGACACTTTTTTTCCTAGTCTTCTTCATCAGCTTTAACGTGTACCTGGATGATCCCTTTTCAGAGAGGCATTCCTTCTTACCCTATTCTAGACAAGCTTTCTTTTGCCTTTACACAACCTCCTTTGGATGTTACTTGTCTTTTGAGTTCTCTAAATACTTCTTCCAGAATGCATGAATTTTCTCAATCAACCTCCCTTTCCTAATATTCCATTATTGTCCATTAAATGCCTATGACATATGTCTGTGTATGTATATAGGCATATGTATGTATGGCTATATATTTTCTGTATTTCTAAAATAGCTGTTTGGATACCTCAACTTAAATATCCCATTATAATATATTTATGAGTCCCACTCTGAATTGATCATTTCCCTCCCCAAATCTGTTCAGCCTCTTGCATTCCCTACCTTATGTTACCACCACCAATTCACTTGTTTGCCCAAGTCAGAAACTCACGAGTTACCTAGATTCTCTTATTCACCCTTCCATCCAATCTGTCACTAAATGTTGATTTCACTTCAGCAACATCTCTCAGATCTTCGCTACTTCTAGGACATAATTTCTTACTGGAATCATTGCAAATGCCTCCCAGGAAGCCTCTTCGTGGGCCTATTTAACACTGCTGTATCCCCCTGCCCTCAAAATCTGCCCTCCATAACGGCAGTCAGAATGATCTCGCAAAATACTCAAAAGGACAAACTAAGAAAGAGTTAAGACCTAATTCATGTCCTCTTCTGTTTCATTTCCCCACTATCCGTTCCCCAACCCCAGCTACCCCACACTGGACACTTTGCCTTGGGCACTTCCTCCCCTCCTTTCCTGCCTTCTTTCCTGGGGCCAAATGCAACACACCAGGGGCCCAGCTCTGAAAACCGCTCCGACGCCCTAGCCCCGGGTCAGGTACTGCGCTCCCAGCCTAAATCTGCTCCTCCGGCACAGTACTTAGCATGCCCCCCCCCCCCCCCCCCAAGTGCCAGCTAGCGCAGGCGCCCGCCGGGTTGTGAGCCCGGGGACGACCAAACTACCCCGTTCCCCCGGGCAGCCGCCCCACGCCTCCTGCCTCCTGCCAGCACCCAGAGGGGCGAATGAAATGAAAGAATAAAGGTGAAGACTGAAAATAAAAGATTCGGATGGAGGTGCTTCAACCATTCTTGGTCTTTGGGGACGGCAGTCTGAGTGAGATTAAGGTAACCGTTGCTGGCAGCTCGAATCCTAGCACGACTCGGCGGGGAGAGCGGCCCGCGCCGTCGGGGCCGGCCGGCAGCTCTGACGCGGGAGGCCTCGCTCACAGAGGCGGCCTCGCTCACAGTCGCTGCCTGGAGCCCGACGCCCGCCCGGCGCAGGCGGCTCGCCTCGCGTCTCCCCGTCTCCGGCGAGCAGGGCCGCCGACTGGGGTCCCGGAGGCTGTTCATGCGGGCGCGCCCCGTCCAGGGCGAGCCTGCCAGCACCTCGGAGAGGCCACCCCCGGCCTCCTCCGCACTGCGCGCGGGCAGCCAGAAGCCTCGCTCGCCCAGCACGCCCGGGGAGGCGCGCGCGCTGCCGGCTTAACGGTTCTGGCCCCGCGCGGCGGAGCTCCGGACCCGGCACCGCAGGCCCCGCCCCCGCCCCCGCCCCCTGGCCGCCTCGCGCCCCTCGGAGCCGCAGTCGGCTCCGCCTCCGCTGCCGCCGCCCCCGGCCTCGAGCGGACGCGCGGCTGGAGCCGTTCCCCGACGGGCAGCGGGGCGCTGGGCCGCCGCGTTTGGGTTGAGCGCGGCAACGCTGCTGCCCCGAAATCCTCCCCGATCTTGAGGCGGTAGGTGGCTGGGGAGGATGAACCGATCTGGGGGGTGGGGGGCAGAAGTCGGGCCCGGGGTGTGAGGAGGCGGTGGGCGCCCTCTCCGAGCTCGGACCCCGGGAGAGTTGTGAGGGAGGGGGTCCCCGGGGTCGGGGGGCACAAGTCCGGCAAGGCCCCCCAGGGCCCCCTAGGTGGGTGGTAGAGTGCTAAGGGGGCGAGGCCGTCGGGAGGAAAGGGTGGTGACTGTTGTGGGAACACCTGGCGAAGGGCGAGGGGCCAGGGGCCGAGGGAGAGTTACGCTGGTGAGGGCATAATTAAAACAAAAAACAAAAACGCCAGAAAAAAAGTAAGTACATAGCGCCCTCTGTCCCAGGACCTGGTCCTTGGTGGTGCGATGGTTTGAAGACTTTGTCCCCCATACCCTGGCACCATCACTACTAATTTGAGGCAAATTTCAACAGTAAATCAATAATTAATTAGATTAAATTACAGACAATAAAAAAGAAAGCCCAATAGGAAAAAGAGAGCCAAGAAACATATATACGGTTAATTCGCAGAATCAAATGGTTCGTGAAAGTAACTGAAGGTATTTCGCAGAAGTTGTAAGTAAAGATACGCCATTAAAAAAACCTGAGATATAATTGATATCTAACGGTTTCAGGTTTACGGCATAATGATTCAATATTTGTATCAAGAGGTTTTAATTACTGATATTTTAGGCAAAGTTAAAGAAAAGGACTGTTACATCAGTTATGACCACAAGCGCACATTATCTGGACAGTTTTATCCTACCTAAGTGTTAAATTTTGTTTGTATTGCAAGGTACATCACCGACCAAAAAGTTTTTTTTTTGGTAGGTTGTAAAGAGAAGGTATGAAATGGAAAGTATTTTATGGAACGCTCTCTCCTCTTACAGCTTTTTGATAGTTTAAATTTTTCTCTCATTTGGCAGCCTGATTTGTGGAATATAAAATATCTTTTATCACCTAAGTCGTAATCGGTTTATGTCTTAACTCCCCTGTATTTCCTTTATATTCTTTTCATCTATCAGTTTATCAGTCTGTGCTGTTTACTTGCAAAGAGCATTTGGTTTCAAGGAATCCTAAGTTAGCATAATAGTATTTTGAAGTTGAAAATTGAGATTAAATCCTGTCTGATTATCACATGGGACATATACATGAGGTAGATGAAGGCATGGTCTTTCCACTTCTCAGATTATGTAATTTTATATGACTGTATTTCTTTTTGTTTTAATTCCAGTGTAGTTAACAAAGTGTTATGTTAGTTTCAGGTGTATAACATAGTGATTCAGCAATTCCATGTATTACTCATTAAGATAAGTGACTCTTAATCCCATTCACCTATTTCCCTCATGCCCCTGCTTCACCTTCCCTCTGGGAACCATTTGTTCTCTATTTTTAAGGGTGTAGGGTTTTTGTTTTTGTTTTTGTTTTAATCTCTTTTTTTTTCTTTGTTCATTTATTTTGTTTCTTAAATTCCACAAGAGTGAAATTTCGTATTTTGTGTTTTTCTGACTGGCATATTTCGCTTAGCATTATACTCTAGATTCATCCATGTTGTTGCAGGTGGGGGGGATTTCAGTCTTTTTTATGGCTGAATAATATTCCATTGTGTGTATATGTGTATATATAAGTGTGTGTGTGTGTGTGTGTGTGTATATATATATATATATATATATATCACATACTCTTTATCCATTCATCTGTATGATCTTATTAATTGCAGCAGAATCATCAGCATTTTCCAAAGAAATAGAGAATTTAGATTGGAAATTATTAGTATCCAGCTTCTAAATACAGTACATAGTATTTTTCTTAAGTTGTGACCCGTGGTAAGTTTGGCACTGTTATACCATGTCTACAGAATAAGGAAAGCATAGTAATCATGTAATTTATTTAGTATTCTAAGAAAAATTATAAATTGAGGAAATGGAATATATGTGTGTATATATATATATATGCTAGTTTATTCAGCAAGTCTATTTATGTATAAATGTTCTAATTCATTAAAAAAAACCCATATATGCAGTGTCCATATGGAATAGTAGAGAGTCCTATGTCTTTCTTTTACTTACCAAACATGCAAGTTTAGAGACAAGGGCATGAACTTTATAGTTAAATCCTCATTTTTGCCATATATATACTAGGTGATCTTGAGAATCTCTCTTCTTTTTCTGAGCATCAGGTTTTACATCTGTGAGATGACTAATAGTGATTCTCTACAGTATTTAATGTGTGGCTCAAAATGAAATAACATATGTAAAGCATTTAGCATGTAATAGGACCTCAAAAATGGAGTTTTAATAAAAAAATGAATGGCATACGTTGCATAGTAAGATTATGTCCCAATTGGTCTGGGACATTGGTGGGTCCTTAGGATTTATATTTAGTTTGAATTTTTTTTTTTTTTTTTGAACAGAAAAGGAACCTAAGATATACTTTAGTATTGCTAGATGTAGAATAGCAACTGAAGCTTTCTGACATGGCAGTTGGCTTTTTGAGATGATTTGTTGACTATGTGTAAACTTGAAAAAAAAAAACAAAACAAAACTATTCAGTAGCTAGTTCTCAGCATGTATTAATAGAATGAAATTTTTGAGACGGTGGATCAAAATGCTTTTTTAAAAAATATACCACAAAGCTATATATTCATAGTTTAAAAGACAACTCTATGATTGGCTAACTACTTGTTATCCAGTGTTTTAAGTACAATTTTTTTTGCTTCTGCAAGTGTTGTCCTTTGTAACAGTTGATACCATAAAGGCCTACCCTAGGTAGTATTAGTAGCTTCAAAGGAAACTTTTGGAGCTCTATATTGGGTGAGTGAAGCAGGCATTAGTTTAAGATTGAAGTTATTTTATATAATATTTTTGTAGTTAAATCTTTATGATTTTTGACCTAAACCGAGAGTTAGGCTTTGGTTTGTGGAGTCCTGTCCTTCATAGATTTCAATCCTGTGATTCAGTTTTTCAATAATAATTACTGTAATAATTAATGTTAATACTTGCCTTTTCCATTAATAACACTGTTTAAGACATGATGCTGTTGTATACTGTGAATTCCAAACTTATTCCCTATAATGTCAGTGTCTCTATACAGACACAGTTTACTTAAAAAATTAAATACTATATGACATCATCTTTTCTCATTTCCTTAACTGATAGGAATTTATGTATCTGGAGCCTTTGCTATATTTTTCCTACTATAAATTGAAAGGGTGGGCGATACGAAAAGATCTTTTATTTTTTGTTTATATACTTGTGTTGCAAAATCATATAATAGTTCTGTAACTCCCCAACTCTTGAAAATCCCTAGTTTGAATACCGTGGATTTGCATTGCTCAGCAACTGGAAAAAACTTTACAACCTATCAACTCAATTTCAGCTGAGCAGTGAAAAACAAGAAAGTGTGTGCCAAAGTACTCTATTGTATTCTGATTCATTAGTTTCATATGGGAAACAGGATGGAAAGTTACTACATGCTAGTATTAGGGTCCCAATTAAAATGTCTAGGATAAACATTAAATAACACAACATTAGATTGCTTTTTGGTCCTTATTTAAAATTTTCTTTCCATATAGAAAATGTTCAATAAATATTTGTTTGAAATATTTTTTTGCTACACATGCTTATAAGTTTTCTTTTGTTTCTTATTATATCAAAGTTGTATTGCCAAAAAGTACGGACGGCATGAGTTTTGTTTAGAAGGTTGCTAATAGCCATGTTGAAATACCAGTTAAGAGACACATCGCAAAAGCTCCATAGGTATTAATGAGGAATACTAGCTGGCTCTCCAAACTTCAGGAAAAAGTAACTGTTTTTGCACTTACTTATCAGTGCTAACTTTGAGAAGTTGTTTATAAATTTATGATTTTAACATTTGAGTAATGTTTAGAGCCATTTTTTTTTACTTATTGTTTAATTGAAATCCAACTTAGTTAACATACAGTGTAATAATGATTTTAGGAATAGAATTTAGTGATTCATCACTTACATATGACACCCAATGTTCATCCCAACAAGTGCCTCCTTAATGCCCATCCCCCATTCAGCCCATCCCCCCACCGAACACCCCTCCAGCAACCCTCAGCCTTTAATCTGTATTTAAGAATCTCTTATGGTTTGTCTCCCTGTTTTTTGCTTCCCTTCCCCTTTGTTCATCAGTTTTGTTTCTTAAATTCCACATATGAGTGAAATCATATGATATTTGTCTTTCTCTGATTGACTTACTTTGCTTAGCATAAAATGTCCCAAGGCATTTATAAATAGGTAAAAGTATGTTTTTGGAGCTAACAGGGAGTTATTAACCCTATTACATACTTAGGGAAACAGTCATTTAGGTAATGATCTGCTTAAAATCATATGGTTGCATTTGTCTCTGGATAAGCAGATATAAAGTCAGGTGGAATTTTATTTTTAGTTTTGTCTTAATAGGCATCATAATTTGAAAAGCTATATCCTATTCAGGCATCAGAAGGTTTCAGTTATATTTAGAAGGTATTTAAATTTATAGATTTATTTAGTAAAACCAATTATGTTGCAGGTACTATGATATGAAGATAAATAAGATGCAGTTTTTTCAGTGTCCGCTAACTCGGTCTAATCAAACACACGAAATAGATTTACTGTGGTACATTTTAGAATAGTTAATAAAATACAGTAGGGGTCAGTGGAAGAGGAAAAATAAATTATTGTTATTTTACTGTCAACTATTTGTTAGGAACTAGAAAGCTTCATGTGAACTATTTTATTTAACATTACTGTTGAGACATGAGAATATTTTCCAAGCAAGTAACTTGACCTTGGTCTTGAAAAACGAATAGCACTTTGGGAGAAGAGCAGCAGGGAGAGTGAAGGAACTCCAGAATGTATAAGTATAGGGTAAAACAAAATAACATTTGTGAATTCAACAATCTATTAAACACCCACAGTGTTCTAGACACTGTACTAGACACTGGTGATAGACCTGTGTGATAGAACTGTAATTTAACGGTCAGGTAAAAGGTAATTGCGACTAGTGCAGTAAATACCACATTGGAAGAGGGTAGATACAGGGGTGTTTTGGGAGCACATAAGGGTACGAACCTGTTCAGTTCTGCCTGGGTATGGGGTGGAAAATGGTTGGGGAGATTCTTGATTCTTTTTGGCCAGAAGCGTGAATATGGCATGCTATTACTTCCTAGACTCAGGATCTTGGGCAAGATACCTAATTTCTCTAAGCTTTATCTGTAAAATTAGTATTATTAAAAAATAATGAGGCTAACATTTATTGAGCTCTTACTGTGTGCCTGACATTGTGCTAATACTTTATACATATAATTTAGTTTTCACATCAAACCTAGGAGGTAGAGGCTACTGTTTTCTGTAGTTATATAACTAGGTGCTGGAGCCATAATATTAACAACAGGTAGGCTCACCTGAGACCTGAGATTTCACTCTTCATTGTGCCTAATTGATAGAGTTGTTCTGAATCTTAAATAACGTAACTTAGGTAAATAGTTTACTCTGCATGACACATGGATTTTGGCCTCTGTTTCTATTATGAATAATCCAGGAGGTGATGAGGAACGGACGTTTTCTAAGCAGGTGTGTGTATGTAAAGGGATCATAGTTTGGAGAGAAAGAGGTTATATTTATCCATTTGTTCAGCACCTACTTTGGATCCAGTCCAGGTACTGTTAGTTGCCAGGGAAAGGGGGTGAATGAAAATATTGTTCCTCAGTTACAGAATCTGCTCCTCACTTTTGCCAAGTATGGAAGACAAACAGCCATTATGTAGAGTACAATGTTCTTAATGCCATGATGTGGGCATAATCTCTGTGTCCCAGGAACATAGGGAGACAAGGGAGTTTTTAAATCCCACTGAGTGATCAGGGAGATGAATTCAGAGTTATTGTGGAACCAAAAGAGTAGTGGCGAGAATGAAGAAAATAGATTTGAGAAATAGTTTGGAAGTAGAATGGACAGGAATTAAGAGACTAATGGTGTGGAGACTTTTATTTTAGATCTTATTTAGCCAAAGTTGGTCTGAGGGAGTTGGTGAAGACTTTAAGGACTACAGGAGGACGAGCATCTTTGGAGTCAAAGTAATGAATTTGATTTTGGATATGTTGAATTTGAGGTGTCTGTCATAAGATATAAATGGAAATAACTTTAGAAAAATAGAACTGGAATTCAAAAGAGAGGTAGGTGCTAAATGTATAAATTAGGGCATGTCTATCACGTAGATAGGTAGTTGAAATCATGAGGAGAGTAGATCAGGTCAACGAAGAGGATCGAAGCCAAATTTGGAAGAATTCCTGAATTTCATTGGAGAAAGGAAGAGGAATAAGCTAAGGAAGTTAGAAGAGGTAGTCAAAGGTATAGGAAACCAAAAGAAAAGTCAGGCAAGTTAAAGGAGTAAAATGTTTTAAAAGAGGGAATGTTCCATTGTGACAGATGCTATAAAGATTGTCACATATTATTTTAAGGGCTTGTGATTTTTTCCACCTTAACTCCTTAACTTATAAGGTGTAGGTATCTTCAAATGAGTGTTGTGGTTTTATACACACACACACACACACACACACATATGTATATATGTATATAAAATTTGTTAAAGCATTTTGATTATCTTGTCGAAAAGATCAGATGTCTTTTTCCCTCTTCAAGTATGGAACTTCAAGGTCTTTGTGATAATGGAAACCAAAAAATTGATTGGTAAACCGCTTCAACCAGCAAGACCTGTTCGTCATCTGACTTCTCCCCCTGGTAAGTAATCTCGGGTATACATCTTTAGAGATGAATTGGATAATGGCTAAGTAGTATTTGAAAGGCGAACTCATATATAAAGTGATTGTTTATGGGGGATAGAGAATAATGAAAACTAATGGTCTCCTTTGTTTGAAGAGTTTAAAAGTATTACCAAAGAAAAAGACTCTTACTAGTCTCCCACTGCATAGGCTACCAGACCAGCAAAGGTAGGAAGAAGAATAGGTCTTGCCTGAGAAAAACTGTATGTATTTATTTTCATGTCTCGTTTTCATGGTTAACTGGCTTCTGCTTAAAATGATATTCTCAACCCAAATTGTGCCCGGTGATTATGGTCACTGTAGAGCAAAGCAATCATGAGGGAGAGAGAATTGGCCTTTAAAAAAAAAATTCCTAACTGCATATAAATGAATGAATGGATGAATTAATTACTGAATACAGGCAAAACAACAGTTACAGGTTAGGGCTATACTTGAGTTGGAACATACAGTATTATTTTTCGGAAAATCTAAACAAAAATTTCTAAAATTAAAAATTTCTCTTGCTCACAAAACTAGGATTTGGGATAAATTCTTTTTTTTTTTTAATTTTTTTTCAACGTTTATTTATTTTTGGGATAGAGAGAGACAGAGCATGAATGGGGGAGGGGCAGAGAGAGAGGGAGACACAGAATCGGAAACAGGCTCCAGGCTCTGAGCCATCAGCCCAGAGCCTGACGTGGGGCTCGAACTCACGGACCGCGAGATCGTGACCTGGCTGAAGTCGGACGCTTAACCGACTGCGCCACCCAGGCGCCCCTGGGATAAATTCTTAAAATACTTTCCTTAATTGGAATATTAACCTTTTAGTTTTTCATTGTTGAAAGAATGGCTTCTACTAACTTAGGTGTGTGTGTGTGTGTGTACACATACATGTATGCATTTTTAATCAATTATTAAATTAATTAAGTTAAATTAAATATTAATATACAAATCTATTTCTCACCATCCTATCAAAATACTCTTTGGTCCATCCTATTAAAATACTCTTTGGTCCATGTGTTCAACTGAGTAACTTGCTATTCAGAAAAAGGAAAAAAAAAAATAGCTCTTTTGTTGGGTGCAAAGATGAAGGAGAAAAGATAGAAATGGCACCAGTTCCTCAATCTTCTGTTTATTCTCCCATCCTTGGTTCTTACAAGGAAGATGGTCTCTACTTTGGTCGTGTTTCTTCTGAAGATGGCTGTGTGACTTAAGACAGACAAATGAAATTAAGGAATCTTCTGGACCATAGCTTTGGCAGTGTTGATGCCATGTCCTCTCTCTCTCTCTCTTTCTTTTAAATGTTTATTTATTTATTTTTGAAAGAGAGCGTGAGCACGGGAGGGGCAGAGAGAGAGGGAGACAGAATCCCAAGTAGGCTGCATGCTGTCAGCACAGAGCCTGGCACCAGGCTTGATCTCATGAACCATGAGATCATGACCTGAGCCGAAATCGAGAGTTGGACGCTTAACCCACTCAGCCACCCAGGTGCCCGGATGCATCTCCTTCTGGTGTGCTGAAGAGGCAGTTGTTTAGGATCAAGTCTCAGATTTTCTTGTAAAGGGAAGGGTATAAAGCCATTGGCAGCAGCTCCTTCTGTGACCAGCCTTTTCACAGCACCTCTCACTCCCTCGTCTGTACAGATACAGTTTTTTGTTCATCCTTTCCCTCCAAGGCCCTTGTAGGGGCAAAAGGTAGTGGGCTCATCTCTCATTTAATTATATCCTCTTAAGATCCAGAAGGGAGTGGGTTTATTGGGTGGAAAAGCTTAATAAATCAGAAATTAATTTTGGCCTTTTTCAATATACTTCTTCTGTACTCCTTAACTAGCTCACATACCCCCAAAATTGTTTTTAAGATCCAGATAGAATTACTTCCTTTTGCGAAGCTTTCTGCTATATCACAAAGCCCTAGTATCTTCTCTGTACCTCTCAGATAACTTGTTTTTATCATAGTAATTGTTTATGAGCTTGTTTCTCAAAACAGACCATGAGCTCTTTTATCTCTGAACTCTTTTCACACTTACATACCCATTCCGTAACATAGTGGGTGACATTTCATAGTGTTTTATAGTGTTGAATGAATGTTTGTTGAGTAGAGGAACCATCAGAAAATATTTCAAAACAGTGCCTAGAATATTTTGGGTACTTAAGGTTTTTAGGTTCCGGTAATGGGTATTTAATGTAGTTTTCTTTTTTTCTGTCCTAATAGGAGCAGTATTCCCTTTCAACTTTCAAAACGAATATCCGTGCAAAACTCAGTGCTTACAAAGCGGAGTTAGCAGAGTAAGTCCTACAAATTATAATAAAATGAAGCATTGCAGACTGGAAGGTAACATTTGTTAGATGGGTATTTTATGCCGGGCACTGTGCTGGGTGCTTTATATAGTTTTTTTTTTTTTTTTGGAATTATTTTTGAAATTATTTTTTAAGTTTATATATTTATTTTGAGAGAGAGGGGTGGGGAGGGGCAGAGAGAGAGGGAGAGTCCCAGGCAGGCTCTGCACTGCCAGTGTGGAGCCTGATGTGGGACTCGAACTCACAAATCGTGAGGTCATGACCTGAGCTAAAATCAAGAGTTTCATGTTTAACAGACTGAACTACCCGGGTGCCCCATGCTTTATATAGTTTTTGAAATTATATTAAAGAAAATTATACCTGTTGCCCACCATTTCCAAGCCTAAACATTTTGCTATATTTGTTTGTTTTAGAAAATGTTAAAGAAAAAACCTAAATAAGATAATGTTCAAAACCCTCTATATCCCTCCACTATCTCATTTTCTTTTTTTAATTTTATCTTATTTTATTTATTCTCAAGTTAGTTAACATACAGTGTAGTCTTGGCTTTAGGACAGAATCCCACCATTTCATTTTCTTCACACCCTCCTCTTCTTACTCCACGTGTAGGTATGTGAGAATAGTTCTCATTGTGCAATGGAATCTTATTTTCTGCCATCCCCAAGCATTGCATTAAGGGTGTGCCTTGGGACTTGTCCTGGAGATGGGTCCAGAGAGGGGGTAGCTGGCCTGAGAGAGACACAGCCACATGCCAGGGTTCCGAGAGGAAGATGAGCTTGAGCCCCGGCCCTGTCACTTCCCAGCCCCGTGACCTGGCGTGAGTGATTTCTTTCACTTGTCAGAGCCTCAGTTTCCTCACCTGAAAATGGGGCTACTAGGTTGGTGTAAGGAGGAGGCAGCAGTGAGCTGAGGCTCCCAAAGTTCTGAGCACTGTGTCTGGCATGTAGTAACTGCTCTCTCCATTTGTGCACCAGTTCTCCCGGCTGTGTCTGTGGACCGTGTCCCCTCCACCATCCCATTGTCTTCTCACCTTCCTTCTCACCTTCTTCCAAATGTTCTCGATTTGTTACTGTTTTCATGAATGTGTTCATACTTTTGCTACAACGAATAGAATTGTTTTAACTGTTTTGTAATTTTATATAAATAGTACTGTACCCACATGTGTTTTTGCCATTCTTTTCTCATTTAGGTTTATGTTTTAAACTATCTAACTTTTTGAATAAGTACAATAATCAAAATTGAAAACATGCAAAATGGCATGAATGGAAAATTTCCCTGCAATCTCTATCCCGTAGTCACTGATTTCCTCTGATCAGAAGTAACCATTCTACCAGTTTCTTACGTAGATACTTCTAGAAATAGATAATGCATGCATAAGAATAAGTGTATTCATAATAAATAGAATATTAGGCAACTTGTAAAATGAATAAAGCAGTTCTATATGTGCTGACATAAAAAAATCTCTTTTTATATACAAATAACTACATTTATTTTGTTGTTCATTTTCTCTTGATGGGCTTGGCACTTGTTTCTATATTATAGTAAATGCTACAGCGAACATCCCTCCATATATTTTATACATGTTTGAGAGGTTCTCTGCATTATAAAACTGAAGTAGTAGTAGTATGTTAGCAGGTAATCTTTATAAGAAACGGGTGGTATGTTTTCTGAAGTGGTTGTACTTACATTCCCACCAGTAGTATGTGCCGGTTACAGTTGCTTCAGAGCCTACCACTTTTTAGCCATTTTAGGATGTGAGTGTTAGTATCTAATTATATTTTATTTATTTATTTATTTATTTATTTATTTATTTATTTATTTATTTATTTATAATTTACATCCAAGTTAGCATATAGTGCAATAATGATTTCATGAGTAGATTCCGGTGATTCATTCCCTATGTATAACACCCAGTGCTCATCCCAGCAAGTGTCTTCCTTAGTGCCCCTCACCCATTTAGCCCATCCCCCCACCCACAGCCCCTCCAGCAATCCTCTGTTTGTTCTCCATATTTAAGAGTCTCATGTTTTGTCCCCCTCCCTGTTTTTATATTATTTTTGCTTCGCTTCCCTTCTGTTCATCTGTTCTGTGTCTTAAAGTCCACATATGAATGAAGTCATATGATATTTGTCTTTCTCTGACCGACTTATTTCCCTTAGCATAATACCCTCTAGTTCCATCCACGTTGTTGTAAATGGCAAGATTTCATTCTTTTGATTGCTGAGTAATACTCCATTGTGTGTGTGTGTGTGTGTGTGTGTGTGTGTGTGTGTGTGTACACACACCACATCTTCTTCTTTTTTTTAATGTTTATTCTTGAGAGAGAGAGAGAGAGACAGAGACAGAGTATGAGTAGGGGAGGGTCAGAGAGAGAGGGAGACACAGAATCCGAAGCAGGCTCGAGGCTCTGAGCCATCAGCACAGAGCCCAACACGGGGCTTGAACTCACGAACTGTGAGATCACGACCTGAGCTGAAGTTGGATGCTCAACCGACTGAGACACCCAGGCGCCCCCATTCCACATCTTCTTTATCCATTCATCTGTCGATGGACATTTGGGCTCTTTCCATAATTTGGCTATGGTCAATAGCACTGCTATAAACATTGGGGTGTATGTGCCCCTTCAAAACAGTACACTTGTATCCCTTGGATATATACTTAGTAGTGCAATTGCTGGGTCATGGGGTATTTTTAACATTTTTGAGGAACCTCTTGAAGTTTTCCATAGTGGCTGTACCAGTTTGCATTCCACCAGCAGTGCAAAGGAGATCTTCTTTCTCCACATCCTCACCAACATCTGTTGTTCCCTGACTTATTAATTTTAGCCATTCTGACTGGTATGAGGTGGTATCTCATTGTGGTTTTAATTCGTATTTCCCTGATGATGAGTGATGTTGAGCATCTTTTCATGTGTCGGTTGGCCATCTGGATGTCTTCTTTGGAAAAGTGTCTGTTCATGTCTTTTGCCCACTTCTTCACTGGATTATTTTTTGGGTGTTGAGTTTCATAAGTTCTTTACAGATTCTGGATACTAATCCTTTATCTGATATGTCATTTGCAAATATCTTTTCCCATTCAGTTAGTTGCCTTTTATTTTTGCTGATGGTTTCCTTTGCTGTGCAGAAGCTTTTCATCTTGATGAGGTCCCAATAGTGCATTTTTGCTTTTGTTTCCCTTGCCTCTGTAGACGTGTTGAGTAAGAAGTTGCTGCGGCCAAGGTCAAAGAGGTTTTTGCCTGCTTTCTCCTATAGGATTTTGATGGCTTCCTGTTTAGTTCTTTCATCCATTTTTAATTTATTTTTGTGGTGTAAAAAAAGTGGTCCAGGTTCATTTTTCTGCATGTCGCTGTCCAGTTTTCCTAACACCATTTGCTGAAGAGACTGTTTTATTCCTTTCGATATTCTTTCCTGCTCTTGTCAAAGATTAGTTGGCCATATGTTTGTGGGTCCATTTCTGGGTCCTCTATTCTGTTCTATTGATCTAAGTATCTGTTTTTGTGCCAGCACCATACTGTCTTGATAATTAGAGCTTTGTAATACATCTTGAAGTCCGGGATTGTGATGCCTCCAGCTTTGGTTTTCTTTTTCAAGATTGCTTTGGCTCTTTGGGATCTTTTCTGGTTCCGTATAAACTTTAGGATTGTTTGTTCTAGTTCTGTGAAGAATGCTGGTGTCACTTTGACAGGGATTCCATTGAATGTATAAATTGCTTTGGGTAGTATCGACATTATAAAAATATTTGTTCTTCCAATCCAGGAACATGGAATATTTTTCTATTTTTTGTGTCTCCTTCAATTTCTTTCATAAGCTTTCTATAGTTTTCAGTGTGTAGCTTTTTCACCATTCCTAGGTATTTTCTGGTTTTTTGGTGCAATTGTAAATGGGATTGGTTCCTTGATTTCTCTTTCTGTTGCTTCATTATTGGTGTATAGAAATGCAACTGATTTCTGTGCATTGATTTTATATCCTGAAACTTTGCTGAATTCATGGATCAGTTCTAGCAGTGTTTTGGTGGAATCTTTTGGGTTTTCCATATAGAGTATGATGTCATCTGCAAAGGGTGAAAGTTTGACTTCCTCCTTGCCAATTTGGATGCGTTTTATTCCTTTGTGTTGTCTGATTGCTGAGGCTAGGACTTCCAATACTATGTTGAATAACAGTGGCGAGAGTGGACATCCCTGACCGGGAAAAGCTCTGTTTTTCCCCATTGAGGATGATATTAGTGGTGGGTCTTTCATATATATGGCTTTTATCATTTTGAGGTATGATCCTTCTGTCCCTACTTTCTTGAGGGTTTTTATCAAGAAAGGATGTTGTATTTTGTCAAATGCTTTCTCTGCATCTATTGAGAGGATCATGTGGTTTTTGTCTTTTTATTGATGTGATGTATCATATTGACTGTTTTGCAGATGTTGAATCAGCCCTGCATCCCAGGTATAAATCCCACTTGGTCATGGTGAATAATTCTTTTAATGTATTGTTGGATCCGGTTGGCTAGTATCTTGTTGAGGATTTTTGCATCCTCTAATTATATTTTAAATTTGCATTTTCATAATGATTAATGAGATTGAGCATCTTATCATGAACTTATTTGCCATTTGTATTTTTCTTTTTTTCCTTTCTGGTGAAGTGTCTGTTCAAATATTTTGCGTATTTTTAATATTTGCGTTGTTTGTCTTTTTATCAGTGAATTGTAAGAGTGTTGAAAATTAGTATATCATGTGTGTTTATTTCTAAACTCCCTATTATTTATTGATTTATATGTCTTTTCCCCCCACTTTATGGAGGTATAATTGACATGTAACATTGTGTCAGTTTAAGGTGTACAGTGTGATGATGATTTGATACATGCAATATGTTGCAGAATGTTTACCAAAATCAATTTAGTTAACACATCCTTAATTTTACATAATTATTTTGTTGCTGTTACGGTGAGAACATTTAAGATTTATTCTTTTAGCAACTTTCAGTTACACAACACAGTATTGTTAAGTATAGTTACACACTGTACATGGGTCTCCCATATGTCCGTCTTTTTGTCAACATCACATTTTACTTATAGACTGCTGTAGGTTTATGATAAGCCTTCATTTCAGATAGTGAAAATTCACTAACTTTATTCTTTTTCAAATTTGTCTCTGCTCTCTAAGTCTTTTATATTTCCATGTAAGTTTTAAGTGAGCTTGTCATTATCTACAGAAAGTCTGTTGGAATTTGACTGAGTCTAAAGATGAATTTGAGAAGAATTAACAACTTAACCATGTTGGCATATCTTACCGCTCTGTGTATTTTCTAGCATAAGGATCTTTTCTTCCATAAACATTCACTTTTCACTAGTTAAGCCAGCCTAACTACTACTAATCCTCCAAGTGTTTAAGCATCACTGCCTATGTAAAACCTTTCCTGACATTTTTAAGTCAAGTTTTATTCTCTTACTCATTCCTTCCATGACACTTTCTGCATATCTTCGTTATAGAATTCTCAAATTTTATTGATTTGATTATGTAAGATTGTAAAATTTGTAAGATTATACATGACTTTATTGTAATATGATAATTGAGATAACAAACTAACATAAAATTTTAGTAGATGTAAGTTCTTATATGCTATGAAAGATTTGAAATAATCAGTATATTTGAAATAATCAGTATTTTTAGTTGTTAATATATGCATAAATGATAAAGTACATTTTTTTCAGATTTCTTGACATGTGATTTACAATATATTTAGGTTATACAACATGATTTTTATAACGGTGTACAACCTGTTTAATGAATGTATACATCTTGATATTATTATAACAAGTTAATTACCACGTTCATCACCTGACATAGTTACCAGTTTTTGTGTGTGTGTGTGTGGTGGGAACAATTAGCAAATTTTAAGCATATAATATAATATTAATAATTATAACCACCATGCTGTATATTAGATCTCCAGAGCTTACTTATCTTATAATTGAAAATTTGTATTCTTTGACCAGCATCTCCCCATTTTCTCTGTCCTCCACTCCTGGCAATCACCATTCTATTCTCTAATACTATGAATTTGACTTTTGAAATTTCACATATAAGTGAGATCATACAATATTTGTCTTTCTGTGTCTGGCTTATTTCACTTAGTATGATGTCCTCCAGGTTCATCCATGTTGTCACATATGTCACGATTTGCTTCTCTTTTTATGGCTGAATAATATCCTATTTATATATTTTTCGTATATCTCTATCACATTTTCCTTACCCATTCATCTGTTGATGGACTTGTGAATAATGCTATCGTGAATAATGATGCAGTGAACATGGGAATGCATAGTCTTCAAGACTGCGATTTTATTTCCTTTGGATGTATACCCCGAAGTGGGGATGATGGATCTTATGGCAGTTTTACATTTAATTTTTTGAGGAACTTCCATAATGTTTTCCAAAATCGCTGAACCAGTTTACATTCCCACCATCATTGTACAAGGATTCCTTTTCGCCCCCAACCCCCATTCTTGCTAGCACTTCTTGTGTTTTTGATAATAGCCTTCCCAACAGGTGTGAGGTGGTATCTCAGTCTAGTTTTGATTTGCATTACCCTCACGATTTAGCAGTGTTAAGCATCTTTTCATGTGCTTCTTGGCCATTTGTGTGTTTTCTTTGGAAAAATGTTTATTCAGGTCTTTTGCCTATTTTTAAATCAGATTATTATTATTATTATTATTATTATTATTATTATTATTTTGCTGTTGTGTTGTATGAGATCTTTATATATTTTGGATATTAATCCCTTATTGCTAATACGGTTGGCAAATATTTTCTCCCATTCTGTTGGTTGCTGTTTCATTTTGTTGATTGCTGCTTTTGCTGTGCAGAAGCTTTTTAGTTTGATGTAGTCCCACTTAATTTTGCTTTTGTTGCTTGTGCTTTTGATGTCATATCCAAAAAATCATTGCCAAGACCAGTGTCCAGGAACTTTTTCAATATGTTTTCTCCTATGAGTTTTATGGTTTCAGATCTTCTATTTGTTTTTGATCCATTTTGAGGTCATTTTTGTGTAGTGTAAGAGTCCAGTTTCATTCTTTTGCATGTGGATATCTAATCTTTTCAAGATTTTTAATCTCTACACGAAGGGACTCATGACCCCAAGATCAAGAGTTGCATGCTTTACTGACTGAGCTACCCAGGCACCCTATTATGTGTTTTTATGTCAGCATTGTAATGTTTTGATTATTATAACTTTGTAATATAGTGTGGAAGTGTGATGCCTCCAGCTTTGTTCTTCTACTCAAGATTACTTTGGCTACTCAGGGTCTTTTGTGGTTCCATATGAATTTTAGAACTGCTTTTCCTATTTCTGTAAAAACTGTTACTGGAATTTTGAAAGGGATTGTACTGAATCTGTAGATCAGTTTAGGTAGTAAGAACTTTTTAACAATATTCTTTCAATCCATGAACACAGGATATCTTTCCATTTATTTGTGTCCTCTTTAATTTCTTCAGTGTCTTATAGTTTTCCACATACAAATATTTTACCACCTTGGTTAAATTTATTAGTAAGTATTTTACTCTTTTAGATACTATTTTAAAAATGTTTTTTAATTTTTTTTCAGAATAAAATTTACTTTTAAGTTTGATTTTAGGCTTGCATTTTAGTGTCAGTGAAGTGTGCCTCTGCTGCAATTTTGAAATTTAAAAAACTAATTTTTAAAAAGGACCATAACATTCATATTATAGTTTATTAAATCTAACAGGAACAAAAACCTTGGAGAATGAAAATCTTTTCCATTTTCATATATTTTCTACCTCTACTTAAAAATAAAAATTTTGTTAAAATTTGATTTTTTTTTTTCCTGATAACTTATTTTGGTAACTCGTACCATAGAATTATCTCATTACTTTTCATTTTGTCATAGGGTTAGATAACTTTCTGACTTCATGGAGTTACCTTGGTAGAATTTGCGAATATTTAAGGAATGGGCTATAACTTGCTACTACAATGACTGATAGAGCAGAGATGTTCATTTTTTAGGATAGATTTTTCCAGAGAAACCTACCTTAATGAATTACCATGGTTCAGAGTATGGCCTACTGTTTGCAAACTGATTTTTGTCAGCAAAAGAGATGATTTTTTTTAATGTTTATTTATTTTTGAGAGAGAGAGAGAGAGAGAGCATGAGCTGGGAAGGGGCAGAGACAGAGGGGGACAGAGGACCCAAAGTGGGCTCTGTGCTGAGAGCAGTGAAACTGATTAGGGCTCGAACTCATGAACTGGGAGATTATGACCTGAGCCAAAGTCAGCTGCTCAACCGACTGATCCACCCAGGTGCCCCAAGAGATGATCTATCTTAAGGATAGATTATATATATTGACCCAAGTTTGTGAAACTGATTTATAAAATCATAAAACCCATTATTTTATCATGAGAAATTTAGGGTCTTGTGCTCTGACATTCTCTTATTGGTTCCACTATTATATGCACTAGGGAGATTTACGGGAAGCTAAATTGTAATAGGGGTACTTCTTGGTGAGCATGGAATCAGAAGAGGAGTTAGTTAAAAATCCTGACAAATAGTTAAAGATATCTGTGAATATATTTTGAAAGAATTTTTTGCCTTTAATAAGCATTCTTAGAAGGTTGCTTATCCTTTATGGCCAGAAATAATGTCTTGACTAATACTTTGATTGTTTAGGAAAATAGTTTTGGCTGCTAAAAAAAATAAAAGGTTATATAAAGTTTTTAGGCCATAGTTAAAAGGTATATTTTCTTATTCTTTCAATAGTGTAAGACGAATGGAATGCAAGCCTTTTCTCAAGGTCATAATGAACCACAGCAACATCAGTCTCCAGTTAAAAAAGGTAAATTTTTACCATAATTCTTAAATTTCATAAGGGAGTCTTAGTATTCATGGTAAGTTAATATTTGCTTAGCTGCAAACCTCATGTGCACAGGAAGTTTTACTATATTTTTTTTTGGTTGATTTTTGGCTATAGTAATCATGCTATAGGTTTGACTGCTTTAGGGGAGAGACCATAATAACAAGGCTTATACAAGATAGAAGTTTATATCTGTATCTTTTTTTAAGTATTTTTTATTATTTAAAAAAATTTTAATGTTTATTTATATTTGAAAGAGAGAGAAAGAGTATGATCAGGGGAGGAGCAGAGAGAGACAGACAGAGACAGAATCTGAAGCAGGCTCCAGGCTCTGAGTTGTCCTCACAGAGCCCAATGTGGGACTCAAACTCAAGAGCCATGGGATCATGACTTGAGCTGAAGTCAGACACTTAACTGACTGAGCCACCCAGGCACCCCTATTTCTGTATCTTCCGTATCAGCTCATAATTGAGCTGGTGTGTTCATTCTGCTCTGATGAAATACTACTGGACTCAGTCTCATTGCTTTGCCATCTTTAATGTATGGCTTCTGTCTCATTGCCCAAGATGAATGAATGCCTTGGATCCAGCCATCCTGTTCCTTATCTAGCCATCAGGAAGGAAGGGGAGAGGTAGTTCTCCTTAAAAGAATGACCCATAAAGTAGCATGTATCACTTTCACTTGGTATCTCATTGGCCAGTACTTATTCGTGCTGTACAAAACAGACTGGAAAATGTAATCTTTAGCTGAATAGCCTGCTAATTCTGTTACTAAAGCAGAAGGGAAGAACTGCTCTTGGGGATAACCAATAGTCTCCCCCACCAGACACTTTTTATTTAATGAAATAAAAATTATTAATTTAGTCTAAATTTTTGTCAATTTTTTGTTTAAAAGTTATGAAAATACTCTATTACCTTTTTTATTCTAGTATTTAACTCCATATTTCTAAATAAAATGTTTAAATTGTTTCCAAATTTAAAATTGTTTTGATATTCTATATTGGCAGCCTATTGTGGAAAATGAGAATTTAATGTCTTCCATGTCACTTCCCTCACTTCTTCACCCTTCTTTCTCCCCTCCCCACCATATAGCCATTTCACAAATTTTAGTGCAAGCATTATCACTCTTTATATTATATGACTATGTAAATACAGTTGTTTAGCCAAGAGGTGCATATGTCTTGCATACAATCCATCGTTTTTTCTTGGAGCTAATGTTTGCATTGTTTTCCTGTGTGACTCTTGTTAACTTTTCCCCTTAATGCTCCAACAATGCTCTTACACTTACCTGTAATATTTTTCTTATGCACAAATATATCAATTTGTATTCTACCCCCCCCCCCCCCCCGCCCAAGGAAACTTTTCCTTCAGAATCCTCCATTATCTTGTTCCAGTATAGACTACTCTTCAGTACTGTTGTCCTAGAATGTACTTTACTATTATCTTGGGACACCCCTTTACAATTCTGTGGTTTCTTTCTTCTTTTTTAATTGAAGTATAATTCACAATTTAAGCCATTTTAAAAGGTATAATTTGGTGGCTTTTAGTACAGTATTATACAACCATTACCACTGTCTAGTTCTAGAACATCTTTATCATCCGAAGGAACCTCAAATCCCTTAAGTCATCATTTTCCATTCTCCCCTTTGCCTAGCCATTGACAAACCCCAATCTACTTTTTGTCTTAATGGAGATATTTATTCTGGGTATCTCATGTAATGGGATTATCTTATATATGACCTTTAGTGTCTGGTTTCTTTCACTTAATGTAAGATTCTCAAGGTTCATCCATATGTAGCATGTATCAGTACTTCATTCTTCCTGTTTATGGCTGAACGATATTCTGTTGTATGGATATGCCACATTTTATTTATCTCTTAGTTGATGGACATTTGGGTTGTAAAGTTTTTGGCTATGATGGATAGCTATAAATATTTTTGTACAAGTATTTGAACACCCGTTTTCATTTCTCTTGGATATATACCTGGGAGTAGACTTGCCAGGTCATATGGTAATTCTATGTTTAACTTTTTGAGGAACTGTCAAACTGTTTTCCACAGTGGCTGCACCATTTTACATCCCCACTAACAATGTGTGAGGTTTTCAATTTCCTGACGTCCTTGTTAGGATATTTTTTTTATTATAGTAATTCCAGTGGGTGTGAAGTATCTCCTTGTGATTTTGGTCTGCATTTCTCGAATAACTAAGGGTATTGAGTGTCTTTTTCCTGTGCTTGTTGGCCATTTGTGTATTTTCTTTGGAGAAAGGTCTATCCAAGTCCCTTGACCATATTTCAGTTGGATTATTTTGTTGTTGTTGAGTTATAAAAGTTCTGGACACTAGACTCTCATCTGTTTCTTTCTGCTACTTTCCTTCTTTCCCCCTCCCCTGCCCATGCTCACTTCCCTTGTCCCCCTCCATACACACTCACATACATGTGTATATAAGAAATCTGATATATATATATATATATATGCATATATATTAGACCCTTATCAGATGTCTGATACTAGGCTCTTACCAGATATATTCATATCAGGTATATAATTTGCACATATTTTCTACTATACTGAAGTTTCTTCTCATTCTCTTGTTAGTGTTCTTACATGTACAAATTAAAAACAAATTGATGAAGTCTGATTTATCTTTTTTATTTTGTTGTTCATGCTTTTGATGTCATATCTAGAAATCATTGCCAAATCTCAGATCATGGAGATTTACCCCTATGAGTTTTATAGTTTTAACTCTTACACTTAGGTCATGATCCATTTTGAGTTAGGTTTTGTATATGGTGTTAAGTATAAGCCCAACTTCATTTTCTTTTTTTCTTTTTTTTTTTGCATTGGCGATCCAGTTGCCTCATCACCGTTTATTAGACTATTTTTCTCTCCAGTGAATTGTCTTGGCACCTTTGTTGAAAATTATTTGACCATAGGAGTATGTGTTTATTCCTGGGCTTTTAGTTCTGTTTCCTTGATCTATATATCTATTCTGTCCCAGTACCACACTGTTTTGATTACTATAGCTTTATAGCAAGTTCTGCAACTGGGAAGTGTGAGTCTTCAACTTTGTTCTTTTTCAAGGTTGTTTTGGTTATTTGGGTTTTTTTGCAATTCCATGTGATTTTTAAGATCAACTTTTCCATTTCTGCAAAAAAGGCTCTTCTTTCAAAAGGAATTTGGTAGCAATGACAATGAATTTGTAGATCACTTGGGGGATTATAACAATATTAAAATTTTCAGTCCATGAACATGGGGTGTATTTCCACTTATTTTAGTCTTTATCAGCGTCTTAGTTTTCAGTGTACAAGTCATGTACCTCTTCGGTTTAATTTATTCCTAATTATTCTTTGTCAAGCTAATGGAATTGTTTTAATTTCCTTTTTTTTAAGTTTATTTAGAGAGAGAGATGAGAGAGAGGGCAGAGAGAATGCCAAGTAGGCTCCACACTGCCAGTGCAGAGCCCAATATGGGGCTTGAACTCGTGAACCGTGAGATCATGACCTGAGCCAAAATCAAGAGTCAGATACCCAACCAATTTAGTCACCCAGGCCCCCCTTTAATTTCCTTTTTTGATTGTTCATTGATAGGGTAGAAAATACAGTTGATTTTGTGTAGGGACATTACTGTCAGCTTACAAAAAATAAAAAGGATGATAAGAAAATACTATAAATTTCTTAAGATGGTATAGAATATCTGAATAAACATCTAGCAAGTCAGGAGATTGAATTTGTAACAAAAAATATCCTACCAAAGAAAAGTCCAGGACTTGATGGCTCCACTGGTGAATTCCATCAAACATTTAAAGAAGAATTAATACCACTTTCTCAAATTCTTCCAAGAATTGAAGAGGAAGGAACACTTCTCAACTATCCTTTGGGGCAAGTATTACTCTGATACCAAAGCCAGACAAAGACATCATGTGGAAAGAAAACTACAGATCAATATCCCTTAGAATATAGGCACAAAATACTAACAAACCAAATCCAGCAGCAAAGAAAAAAGATTATATACCATGGCCATGTGGGATTAATCCCAAGAATCCAAGAGTAGTTCACATGTGAAAATCAATTTGTGTAATAGACCACATTAACAGAATGCAGGGACAAAAAAAAAAAAAAAAAATACATCACCATCTCAGCTGATGCAGAAAAAGCATTTGACAAAATCCAATGCCCTTTCTTAATAAACACTCTTAGCAAGCAAGAAGTAAAAGGGAATTTCCCCAACATAATAAAGGGTGTATATCAAAAACCCATAGCTAACATCATAATTAGTGTGAAAAACTGCAAGTTTTCCCCCACCAAGATCAAGAACAAGGCAAGGATACCCACTTTCACCACTTAAATTCAACATTATACTGCAAGTTCTAACCAGAGCAGTTAGTTAAGAAAGGAAATAAAAGACATTCAAATTGGAAGGGACAAAGTAATGTTATCTCTATTCACAGGTGATACAACCTTATACGTACAAAATCCTAAATCCATAGTATAGTAAATGTAAAAAATTATTAGCTAATAAATGGATTCAGCAAAGTTGCAGGTTACAAAATCTTTGTTATTCATGATTTTAGTAATTTGAGTCCTTTTTCTAGTTGACCTTTGTCATTTTGATCTTTTCAAATAATCAACTTTTGGTTTATTGATTATTACTTTTCTATCTATTTCATTTATCTTTAATCTTTATTATTTCATTCTGCTAGCTTTTTATTAGTCTGCTCTTTTTCTAGAAGTTCTTAATATTTGATGTTAGGTATTTGAGTTGTTCTTTTTAATTTTTATTTATTTATTTTTAAAGTTTATTTATTTTGAGAGAGTACAAGCCGGGGAGGGACAGAGAGGGAGAGAGAGAATCCCAAGCAGGCTCTGTGCTGATAGCATGGGTAGTACCTGACACGGGGCTCAGTCCCACGAACTGTGAGATCGTGACCTGAGCCGAAACCAAGACTCAGTGCTTAACTGACTGAGCCACCAAGGTCCACTTG